CATTTCGTCTGGGTCCGCCCCTGAGAAGGAGGATTTGAGATTGTTATGGTATCCTAATACTTTCATCAGTCATGTAGGCAGGAAACAAGTATTCACGTTGTACAAAGAGTTGACTGCTTCCTCCTCCTTGCCTGATGATCATCAAAAGCAAAAGTAAAAGCAAAAGCAAAATCTGTCAGATGAGTACATAGATGAATTAGCTGATTTTTCAGAAACATGATTCGCTGATTTTCTCAATGATCCTGAAGATTACTCCGTATATAACAGCAGTATGATCACTAACGATTATACAAGATCTTGCCTAACACAAAATTATGACTTTCAAAATAGCAATTTCAATTTGGATCAGAATTTGGATGATTTAGTACATCTTTCTAATGATCAGTGCTCTAGTGGGGATGAGAACATTAGAGGGGAAATGGAATATGAAATTGAAATTGAGAATGCTGGTCTAGATGATGTTGATTTCAAGTTTGTTGATGAAATTGTATCATTTAATTGTACCCCCCTAAGAGATTTTGAAGGAGGATATGGAGATGAGCCATTGATGCTTAGTGAGGTCATGAAGAGGAATTATCAGAGAAAGTTTTCAGCTTCTCTCTATGCCTTCTATGGGATCCCAGAATGCCTCAAGATGAAGCTCAAATCTGGGAGTGTCAATGAAAAAACAACTTTGTTACAAAGAAAGTTGCATAAGCCATTTCAATCGTAATTTTTTACATATATCAATCCAAATTTTACATATATCAATGAAAAAACAACCCCACTTCCAGAAACTCTGTCATGGCATCCCAGGATTTTTTGAACGCCAAATTTCATAATTATGCATAAGCCATTTCAATCGTACTGTTGCATCTTTAACCAAAACAAAGACCGTACGTGCATCTTTGTTACAAAGAAAGTTGCACACATAACAATAAAATGAACTCAAATTCATATATTTTTTTTATGACTTGTGAAGGTATTGCCAAACACGCACTGTGTTAATTATCAAATTAACTCATCAAGCACCCTGCAAGGAGTTATT